GTTGACTCGGATATATAATCTGAGTTTCTTCCTTGAATGCCTAGATACCTCCATCCCAATATAGGGGTTTATTTTATGGCCCATGATGGCTGTCATCAGGGGCCCTAATAACCTAACTAGAATGGGGCTTCTGGAATATGTGCCTGGTGGATTCTTATCTGAATGGTGGCACTTTGTGACATTGGCTGTTTATTGCTCGTAGTGCGGTCCTGTTAGGGTTGAATGTCACTCACTCACCTGAATACATAACTTCTACAAATATTTAAGTTGTAACACTGTGGGATGCATATTCTTATTTTATTCAAGCCCTGCTCTGGCTTTTGCAGGGGTCCTGAATATAGCTTGGCCATAAATATGGCCTAGCCATAGATATGGTCTAACGGCTGAAAGGGGTTTCTGGGACCTCCCCATAGGTGATCCTCATTTGCACAGTTGAAATTTGTGTCACTGAGTGTTTATCGCTTGTATGGTGTACCTACCTACATAACTCTGTTTAATGGTTGAGGTGGGATACCAAAGAGAATTTGACAAATTAGAATGGCAAACTTCAGCCATGTGAGTGGTTCTTTCTTCATGATGATAATGTGCTACTATCTCTTAAAGCTGAAATTGTAAAGATTTTTCTGGCAAACATGAATGTTGCTCTTCTCCACCACCACCTCACTCACCAGGTCTAGAAACTGCCAGCAACTGTCTTTTCTCCAAGCTATCATTTCCTTTCAAATAAGGCATTTTCAAAAAGTCCTCTATAAACTCGCATGTCAGCTGCAGGTCCTGCAAGGTTCCCCATAGCTTGCTCTGCACACTTTGCTCTTGAGGCCAGGTGTCTTTTCAAAGTTGCAGGTAGAGTGGGCAGGTCTGCAGAATGTGCTGAGGTGTTTGTGGTCCTGTCTGACAGGCACACTGTGGGGACTGTACAATCTTTATTTAATGCATGTGGTAGTTGAGCTTGCAGTGTCCTGTTCATAGATGGAAAATTACTGTATGTTGCTTTCTGTTGAGTCTGCTGATGGGATCTTGCGGATGTTTACTGTTAGTTTGTTCTCTCCACAATCCCTGGTATTTTCCTTTGATAAATGTTCTGATTTCAATGAATGGGTGTGTTGTTTCTCGATTTGATTGTTTTTTGTGAGTCTGTTTAGCAGACAGGTCAGTTCTCTTTCTATGTTGCCTTGTGGATCCCTATGAGTCACCTGGAGGACTGACATGAAGTCGCACAAAAAAACAATTTTGCTGTTTTTAATTTTTCTTTCCTCAAGCACATTGGCTGAATCAATAATTGCTTGCTGCTCTGCTCTAAAGTTTGTTGAGAGTCTTCTGGAGGCGCATGACGTTTCTACTGTGGTCCCATCTTGCAGCATTATGACCGATCCAGCTCCTCCATTTTTGTCTGCTCCCTCCAATGATCCATCGGTGTATACGTGTGTCCACTCAGGTTTTGGATAACAGTTGCAGGCATGTTCAAGGGTCTTTGCACATAGTACTAGGTCACATTCTTCAGCCTTTCTGTCTATGCCTGGAATTGTTGTTGTGACTGTATATTTAGGCTGTAGGTCTTTGCTGTATGCCTGGATCATTTCCCATGCTGAAGGATCTTCAGAAAGGATGTCAATGTTTTTTGTGTAGTACAATTTTGATAGATGGTGAAAGCTTTGTCTTTTCAGTCGGTTTTTTGGTAAGTTATTTGCTATTCTGTGCATGGGGTTGTTGTTCATGCGTTTACATTTTTCTGTTAGGGTAAGCACCTTTTCTTCCCTTCAAATGCTCAAGCTCTGGAGGCCACAAGTTGCCTCCAGCTCATTAATTGGTGTGCTTCTCATACCTCCAGTGATGATTCTGAGACCAGTGTTCTGTATTTTATCCAGTTTGTGTAGATTTGTTTTGGCTGCAGTGGAGTATGCTCCCATGCCATACTCCAGTTTTGGTCGTACCTATCCAGTGTATACTTGTCGTACAGTGTTGGCATCTGCACCCCAGCTTGTTCCAGTAAGTTTCTTCATAAGTCTGAGCCTCAGGGTAGCTTTCCTTTGGGTATCTTCAATGTGGGGACCCCAGGTTAGCCTTCTGTCAAATTTTACTCCCAAATATGTGGGGTTATCCTCTTTTGGAAGGATGTTGCCTTCTGGGTACAGATCAACTTGTTCTGGTTTTGTGGAAAAAGAGAACAAAGTTGAGATGGATTTGTTCTGGTTTGTTGTGACTCCCCAAGAGTCTGTCCATTTCTTAACTGTACTTATAGCTTCCTGCATTCTTGTTTTAGTTGTTCCTATATGTTAAGCTTGAGTCCATATGGCCAAGTCATCTGCATGTAGCGCCTTGTGAATGTGGGTCGTGAACCATTTTGGTAGGTCATTGATGAAAAGAATAAACAGGGTAGGAGATATAACACCTCCCTGGGGGACACCTTTTTGTAACCTGACCAGCTTGCTTTTGTGATTTTCCAGTCTCTCTCGCACAGTGTCTGTAAAGGAAGTCTCTAATCCGGCAAACATATGCGCTTTTATCCCACAGTGTGCTAGTTTTAGCAAGAGCCCTTTCTTACAGACCTTATCGAAGGCTTTGGTCAGGTCAAAGAAAGCCTAATACAAATGTCAAAACTGTTTTTCTTAAAGATGTGCAGAAGTTAATGCAGTGTGTTAACAAAAAAAGTGCATTGATCAAATATAAATGCATTTTAAAGAATAAAAGTAAGTTAAATCTGTAAAAGAGATTAATTGTGGTTCAGAAATTGTATGTCACAGATTGTGTATGTACAGAAGTATGTACATGTGTCAACGTCATTATCATGTAGCAGGTCCTTTGCAGAATGTCGCTCTCATTACAGTCTGCCTGAAAGAAACTCGGTCTCTCGCCAGTTCTCCCGCCTCATGTACTTTCATACTCAAGGAGTCACTTATATCCTGGGCCATTCTTTGTGTTGGTCGGCCCTGCCCCTCCTTCCTGGTACCATGCCTTCTGTTATAATTTGTCCAATCCGTCGTGGCCCTTGATATGACCAAAATATTTCAACTTCCGAGACAGGATGCTGTTTATTAGGCAATTTTCCTTGATGTTTAGATATGTACATGTGTCGATATGTATTATATTTGCAAGTAGTTATGAATGCAGGCATGTATGTGTGAGTAAGTGGGTCTGAGTCGTGGGGATGTGTGTATGTGGGTGATGGGGGGTGTGTGTGTGTGTCAGTGCATCACTATTGTACTATGCATCACCATGTACACTATTCAAGAATCTACAAGCTGCAGCCAGATAAAATATGTGTGCATGTTTTTCTGTCCTCAGTGCTCATATTGATGATGCCAATGCAGACACCGTGAGGTCAGTTAGTGCGGATCTCTTTGAGAAGCCCAAATTTGGAGAATACACCAAACTTGCGAGACAGGTAGTTCTATCACTTCGGTTTTACTCCTGTCTATCAACTATCTCATCTCATGACTCAAGTCTCATTTCTCCCAAAGAACAGAGTGATAAGCATCGCTTCAGAGGTCCTGGGTAGTTAGCATCCTTTGATTATTTTATCCAGGGTATGCAGGTGTGTTGGGAATGGTTATTTTATCAATGATATGCAGGTGTGTTGGGAATGGTTATTTTGTCCAGGGTATGCAGATGTGTTTGGAATGCTTACTTTATCTGGGGTATGCAGGTGTGTTGGAAATGGTTACTGCACTGGCTGCTGAAGATGAGGACAGAGTACACATTTGAATGCCCTGAGTGCTGGGATGTCAATTCTTGGCTCAACTCAAATAAACACATTCATATAAATGTTATTTCATTTAACCTTGTATCTTCTATCAGCATTCCTTCATAAATGATCTTAGGAATGTCTACTTTTTTTTCCAGTATAATTGCTACTTTAGCTATCACTTTTGTAGCTGCAGCATTCACATTTTCACTCTCCTACATATTCTGAACAATATATCTTTGTAAGTCCCTGTAATTTTAACATGTTCCTTTCCAATTGTATGAGTACTGTAATCCTTGTCATAAACATATTCTGTATGCACTGTAACCCATGACATAGATATTGTGTTTATACTGTAAGCCATATGATACATTGTTCTCAATCACAGGTGCTGCTGGCGTTTGAGCAAGAGGACTTCTGTGACTTTGAGGTTCAGTATGAGATCTCCCACAACTACATTCATGCCTTGGTTGGAGGCTCTAGCAAATATTCCCTGGCTTCCCTGGCATTCACAGCCTATGACCCTCTCTTCTACCTTCACCACTCCAACACAGACAGGCTGTGGGCAATCTGGCAGGTAGCTACAGCTTTGTTCTTCTTGGCCAACACATTACAATTTGTTATTGTTGACATTGTCTCAGCTTTACCACAGCTAAGTCTTATATTTTTACCTATCGTTTTATAATTAAGACAAGAGATACAGCATGGTGGAGATCCATTGTAGGCAACCATCAATGTGGAGATGGGAAGACAAGAGATACAGCATGGTGGAGATCCATTGTAGGCAATCATCAATGTAGAGATGGCAAGACAAGAGATTCAGCATGGTGGAGATCCATTGTAGGCAACGATCATTGTAGAGATGGGAAGACAAGAGATACAGCATGATGGAGATCCATTGCAACCAACCATCAATGTAGAGATGGCAAGACAAGGGATACAGCATGGTGGAGATCCATTGTAGGCAACCATCAATGTGGAGATGGCACCTGAATGATTGTTTTATATGTGATACACTTGAAAGAGTGTTTTTTTTTTTTTTTTTTTTTTTTTCTCAAATGAAGATATGCATATTATTCTGGGGTACTCAAGATACACCTCTTGTGTAGCAATGGGATACCATCTTGACTTTCTGACAATGAACTACATGATCAAGATTTGGAGGGTTTATTTATACCTGAAGATTAGCTCAAATCTGAAGCACCCTTTGCACTTTATGCTCTTCAGCAAAATAGGGCAACAAACTCAAATGGGGAAAATTATGGCTGGATAGGGCAGAGGATGATATCAAGTAGGTCTTCAGTCTGGCAGTCACCAACCCTGGTGAGGAGTGGATACCTGGGCTAAAGTGCCAAGTCGCACCTTTTCCTGTGCCATCAAGCATGACAGGAGTTGTCGGGATCAGAACCTGTTGCTGTCAGTGCCAAGGTCCACATGCTTATCAGTGACAGTTCAGATGAGGCATATGTGCTGATCAACACAGACAGGTCCATTGTACACAAGAGTGCATAGATTATCATAGCTTGTTCTGCAGCTGGAACAGTCCAGGAAGCCAGTGGTGTCTTCTCTATGACTGCTAGCAGCATGCTGATGGAGGTGATTGTGGTGACACAGGCTGTTATGGGGCTCGAATCACGGGAGTGATTCAGTGAGCATGATCTGGCGGGTCGAGGCGGGCTCTGTGCATAGACAGTGGACTGAGTCATTACCCAACTCTGCCATGCATGGAGTTACCTTCTTCTTTGTCCCAGAGCATGTAGGTGTTGTTGTCAAAGAAAAAGCTGATAGATAATTCTGCCTTTGTTGCAGATGACCTGCCTATGGATCAAGCTGACATTGTTAATGACCTTAGAGTGATAGGACAGTCAGAGTATTTTGTGAGCAGTACATCTACATAATGCTAAGAATGTGAGAATTGGTAGCAAAAATCCGTGCCGCCAAGCATGAGAGGCACACTCGACACAGAAGAAGTATTGTAAACAAACATAGGACTGGTACTATTAATCGCTAGACACTGATGTATGTGTTGAACATGGAATCTGAGCACCTATGGTCGTGTTCAGAGTGCCAAGAAGATAACCCAACTCATATCTCATGTAATATATAAATGCAACAACCTTATTCCTACAGATGTAAGACACATCTGGTAAATAGATTCAACTGTCTTGTCTCCCTCACATCTCAATATATATTGGCAGATACATCAACTTGTATGTCCTGGCATGTTCTCTCCAAACATTAACATATCGCATCTTGAGCTGGACATCTTCTCTCCAATCATCAACATATCACATCTTGAGCTCGACATGTTCTCTCCAAACTTTAACATATCACATCTTGAGCTCGACATGTTCTCTCCAAACATTAACATATCACATTTTGAGCTAGACATGTTCTCTCCAAACATCAACAAATCACATTTTGAGCTAGACATGTTCTCTCCAAACATCAACATATCACATTTTGAGCTCATCATGTTCTCTCCAAACATCAACATATCACATCTTGAGTTCGACATGTTCTCTCCAAACATCAACATATCAAATTTTGAGCTAGACATGTTTTCTCCAAACATCAACATATCGCATCTTGAGCTCGACATGTTCTCTCCAAACATCAACATATCGCATCTTGAGCTCGACATGTTCTCTCCAAACATCAACATATCAAATTTTGAGCTAGACATGTTCTCTCCAAACATCAACATATCACATCTTGAGCTCGACATGTTCTCTCCAAACATCAACATATCACATCTTGAGCTCGACATGTTCTCTCCAAACATCAACATATCACATCTTGTGCTCGACATGTTCTCTCCAAACATCAACATATCACATCTTGTGCTTGACATGTTTTCTCCAAACATCAACATATCACATCTTGAGCTCAACATGTTCTCTCCAAACATCAACATATCACATCTTGAGCTCAACATGTTCTCTCCAAACATCAACATATCACATCTTGAGCTCAACATGTTTTCTCCAAGCATCAACATATCACATCTGAGATGACCTCCTTGTCCCCTACCTATATTTGTCTTCAAACAGTTAATGCATAAGTCAAACAGCTCTCAATTCTGTCTTCTCCAGGCCCTTCAGAAACATCGTGGCAAGCAGTTCAACAGGGCTAACTGTGCCATTGGGCAGCTGAGAAAACCTCTGGCACCTTTCAGCCTGACCTCTGATGTTAACCCCGACCCAGTTACCAGAGAGCATGCCGAACCAGCTCAGGTGATTGTTTGATGTCACTGATCACTGTTGGTTAAAGAAGAGATGTTCCATCTGAATAAACACACTGTTTATTCATTATCACTCTGTGTATCTCTCTTGTATTCATGTGTGTATGCGTGTCTCTCTCTCTCTTTCTCGTTCTCTCTCTCTCTCTCTCTCTCTCTCTCTCTCTCTCTCTCTCTCTCTCTTCCTTTGCCTTACCATATATTGACTTTCTGTTTTTCCCATATTCTCCTAATGTCCATTCCCTGTTCTCTATCTTTATATCCCTACTATTCTCTTTTAAAACATCTCTCTCTCTCTCTCTCTCTCTCTCTCTCTCTCTCTCTCTCTCTCTCTCTCTCTCTCTCCTTTATTTTCTTCAGCATTCCAAGCCCCTGAGGTTAATTGCTGCAGATATCTCCTGGACCCTTTAATCTCTGGGATTAACCCTGTTTTTCTTGTTCGTGATACCAAGTGTTTGCAGTTCTGCCTGGATATTAACTTTCCTTTGTCTTCTTGGTCTGCCTTATGGTCTGTGGCCATTCATCTCCCTTGTAGTGTACACAGTTATTGCTTCTCTAACAGCGGCCATTCTATCAATAGACTCCAGCCATTTCGGTCTATTAGCCCCCATGATGCCAATAATCAATGGGGATTTAAACAAATTATGAATTTCATTGTTGTTTCTCATTCTCCATTCCTTGTTCTCCCTTCCCTACTGTTTACATCTTTGATGGGGCCAAAAATTCAGTGTAAGACTATGTTTTCATCAATGTACGATAAATGATAAAGCTTTATCTCTTAGTCTTACTTCAGGTTCCAGTGCCATGGGGGAGGGGGGAGGAGGGGGCTGTGTGGTCTCGAGGCATGGTGTCCGCCTTGAGTGCTAAGGTAAGGGTATCCGATCTCACTACCCAGAAACCAAGGGAATTTACTTAAAGTCCAAGTTCACTGAACAAATTCCCAGCCTTCACCAGGGCCTGAACCCAGGACCTCCAACACTTGAGGCTGACCATATTCCTCAAGACCACACAAGCTCCCTTTAATGTTATATTGTGCTGTAGGCTGGTATGGAAGTCACAGCCCATGGTGATAAGTGTGACTAGTAACACCCATTTGTGTAAAAAAAAATCTTAGACCATAACGCATGGGACAGTGTTGCCATTTTATTTGTTTAAGCCATTTCTTCTAATGTGAATAAGTTTATTAACTTTCACTGACATGAAGAGGAGTGCTAAGAACGTAAATGTCTGCTTATTGTATGTAGCACAACATGTCTACTTGTGTCAATGTATTTCCACTGAAGGCTGGTCAATGACACTGATTGTGTCCATGTGCAGGTATTTGACTACAAGAAAAACTTCTTGTATGACTATGACAGTCTGGAGTTTAACGGACTGACCATTCCACAACTGGAACGGGTGATTCAACAGAACAAGGCAGAAGATCGAGTCTTTGCTGGCTTTATTCTGCATGGGATCCAGCACTCGGCCCTCGTCAAGTTCTCCATCTGCAGGTCAGTGTTTTGGGGTTTCTTTATTGACATTCATAACGGCCCTACTCACACACAAACACGCATGCATACAGTCCCGTGTTTCTATGTATGATACTCCTCCAGGTAATCACCAACAGCATTGTCATTGTCATCATTACCTTCATCATTTAAATTATCATCATCCCCTGTGTGGGTTCTGGGGTCCCATTGTGGGGAAAACAAGAATAAACCCACTGCCTCGCCAAAAGCATGTCGTAAGAGTCGACTAATTGGGGAGCTTCCTTTGAAGTCGGAGTGCATCTGCCGGAGAGGCAAGGAACCAACAGTCTGTATTCAAGAGAATGAGATCTGTAAAATTGATGCACACGCAACACTCAGGTTCTGGAGCAGGACTGCAGTTCAGTAGTAGACGAGCAACCATAACTTTCCGCCAGAGTGTACAGCTGGTGAACGTGAAGAATTGAAGAATTATCATTATCGCCTTCATGACTAAAATTATCATCACCACTGCTGTAAGTGAAATTATCATCATCCGTGTCATAATTAAAATTATCATTGTCACCATCATTATTGAAATTATCATCATCCTCAACATCATTGAAATTATCATCATCCTCAACATCATTGAAATTATCATCATCCTCAACATCATTGAAATTGTCACCATTACCATTGTTACTGAAATTATCATCATTGAAACTGTCACCATTGTAGCCACATTCATCATCATCATCATCATTATCACCACTGAAAAAAGTATTACCTGATAATGTTTTACAAGTTAAATAGTTCAATTACCAGTCCAGCCAATGTGTTTTTTTTTTTTTTTTTTTTTTTTGTTGTTGTTTGTTTTTTGTTTTTATGTATATCTGCTGACTATTGACTATTGATAAACAGTGGGATATGTTGCGTGAGTCAATTCAGCAGACATCAAAAGAGACAATCCCACCAACCCATAGAGTTGTAAAAAAGAAATGGATGTCAACCGAAATTCTGCAGTTGATGGATGAAAGAAGGAAGAAAAAGAATAATAAAGAAGAATACTCTAGAATACAAAAAGAAATAGTGAGCAACTGCAGAGTGGCTAAAGAAGCCTGGCTGAATCAAAAATGCACAGAGATTGGGGAAAATCACAGGAAAGACTCACATTCCATGTACCAACAGATAAATATGTTAACAGGAAAGATGACACGTAACAGCACTGGATGTTTGAAATCAAAAGATGGTGACTTATTAATGGAACATAGTAATATAATTAACAGATGGACAGAGTATATAGGGTAATTGTATGATGATAATAGACCAGACGTAGAACTGCAGAACAACAATGATGGTCCACCAATAATGACTGCAGATGTTGAGGATGCAATACATCATATGAAGAAAGGAAAAGCACCCGAGCCAGACAACATCTCACTGGAAGAAATCAAAGCACTGGGAAACTTTGGAATTGAAGTAATAACTAAACTTTTAAATGATATTTATAATAGTGGGTATATTCCAAATGACCTTTTAAAATCCATATTTATAGCTCTGCCAAAGAAACCAGGCACTTTAAAATGTGAAGACCATGGCACAATAAGTCTTATGAGTCACATGACTAAGATTTTACTGAGAATAATTATGAGAAGAATAAACAAAATTAAACCAGAAATCAGCGATGAACAATGTGGATTTGTAGAAGGAAAAGGTACAAACAATGCCATATATATCCTAAGGACATTGTCAGAAAGAGCTATAGAAGTAAAGACTGATTTGTACTTATGCTTCATAGACTATACAAAAGCATTTGACTGTGTGAAGCATGAAGAAGTAATCAAACTGTTAGAAAAATTAAACATTGATGAGAAAGATCTATGAATAATAAAGAATATGTATTGGCAGCAAACAGCAGCTATAAGAATTAACAACTGTTTAGGTACATTTCAAAGCATAAAGAGGGGCGTACGACAAGGATGTGTACTTTCATCTGATTTGTTTTCAATATACAGTGAATATATAATGAGATCTTTAATTGATATGCCCGGAATTGTGGTTGGTGGGCACAATATAAACAATTTACGTTATGCTGATGACAGTCTTGATAGCAACAAGTCAGAAAGAATTACAGGTAATGATAGACATTGTGGTGTTAGAAAGTGGAAGAATGGGCCTCAGTTTGAATAATGGGAAGACAGAAGTAATGGTGGTATCAAAGAAACAAATTATTCCTAAATGTGTAATAAAAGTCAATGGTGTTATTTTAGGACAAGTACAGAAATTTAAGTATCTGGGCATATGGATAACATCAGATGGAAGATGCATAACTGAAATAAGAAACAGAATTGGACAGGCAAAAACTGCATTTTATAAAATGAAAAACATCCTGTGCAATATATCCTTGTCATTGAGAGTTATAAAAAGAATTCTTGCTTGCTACATGCATCCAGTTTTAACATATGGATGTGAATCCTGGACAATCGGTAGGCAGGCCAAACAATTTTTAGAGGCCTCAGAGATGTGGTTTTACAGAAGAATGCTTAGAATACCTTGGACAGCCAAAAAGAGCAACCAAGAGGTTTTGAAAGAAGCGGGAGCCCGAAGACAACGTATCACAGACATCAGATAGAGACAGTCATCATTTTTCGGCCATGTTATGAGAAGAGGGAAAATAGAACATGTTGTGACCACTGGAAAGATCTGTGGAAGGAGGGATAGTGGAAGACAACGAGAGAAGATGCTTGACAGTCTTGTTGCATGGCATGGAGATGTGTCGGCACACGAACTGATACATGCTGCAGGAGATCACAGATTATGGAGAGGGATGATCGCCCACGCCAGTCGGCAAGGCACCTTATGATTATGGTATATCTGCAGTATGCTATGTTTCCCTTAAAATATCCAGCTTTAGCCTTCCTAATGAATGTGTCTGTTTCATGTTTTCCTATTGAATGTATCTATTTCATGCCTTCCTATTGAATGTGTTTATTTCATGTCTCCCTAAGGAATGTGTCGATTTCATGTCTACCAAATGAATATGTCTGTTTCATGTCTCACTATGAAATGTTTATATTTCATATCTTCACATAGAATGTGTCAATTTCATGTTTTCCTATTGAATGTGTTTATCTCATGCCTTCCTTTTGAATATCTATTTCATGTCTCCTTATTGAATGTGTCTATCTCATTTTCCTACTAAATGTGTCTATTTCCTGTCTCCCTGAGGAATGTGTCTATTCCATGCCTCCATACTGAATGCGTCTGTTTCATGTCCTCCTACAGTATGTCTCATCTCATCTCTGCCTCTTATGTCTATTTCATGTTTTCCTACTGAATGTGTCAATTCCATGTCTTCCAATGGAATGTGTCCATTTCAAGTCTTCCTAATGAATGTGTCAGTTCTATGTCTCCCTGTGATATGTGTCTATTTAATGTCTTCCTACTGAACATTTTTTTTTAAAAGTTAATATTGAATGAGTCTATTTCATGTCTTTCCATTGAGTTCCTATTTGAAATATGGAAAGGTGTCATTCTATAAGTGCACAATGTGTCCCTATCTAGCAAATGTTACATAGATGAAAGTATAAATTCCAGGTCCACCTATGTACTGTGTAACATTATTGTAAAATTAATGTAATATCAAATATAAAATTAATGTATTATCAATTTAAAAACAAATGTGATATCAATATAAATCAGTGTAAAATTAATATATCAGTGTAAAATTAATGTAATATCAATGTAAAACAATGACATGTCAGTGTAAAATTCACATAAAGTCACTGTAACAGCAATGCAAGATTCACATAAAGTCAATGTAACATCAGTGTAAGATTCTTATAAAGTCAACATAACATCAGTGTACGATTCACATAAAGTCACTATTACATCAGTGTAAGATTCATGTATAGTCAACATAACATAAGTGTAGAATTCATATAATGTCAGTGATACATCAGTGTATTATTCACATAAAGTCAGTGTAACAGCAATGTAACATTCACATAAAGTCACTGTAACAGCAATGTAATAATGGCATAGGGTCAATATAATATCAGTGAAAGATTCACAAAAGGTCAATGTTATATTACTGTCAGATTTTCAGTAACAACAAAAAGGTAAAGTTAAAGTCAGGAGATGTGAACCAGCGTTATAAACCATAGGTGCTCTGCCACCAGTATGGACAGCTGATAAGAAACTGTCTGCCTGTCTCGCCATCCACGCGCAACTCCTTAGCTACAGCAACGTTCCTCCATTTACCCCAGAGTGTTAACGCTGTTACCCATATCCTAGAGGCTAGGTGAACCCCAGGGAACTGCCGGGTTTTGAGCACCGGCCATGGGCTGCAGCTGGATTTGAAAGCGAGCCTCCTGACTACGCTAATGGGGTCAGTAACAACAAAAGTCAATGTAACATCAACGTAAGATAATAAGAAAAAAAATGGTAATATAAGATCAGTATAAAACTAAGAAGACAAATGGACAAGTAGATACTCATGCATGTCAGTTGCTGTAGCAGCGTGTCTTGAGACAGTTTTCTAAATGTTATTGCAGGCTCACGAGGAGAGCTGACGATTGTGATTACAAGGCTGGGGAATTCTACATCCTTGGGGATGTGAACGAGAAGCCATGGTCCTATGATAGGCTGTTCAAATATGAGATCACTGAACAACTGGCCAGACTTAATCTGCACTATGATGATCGCTACACCATCGCATACCAGATTTTAGACCTTGATGGCAATGATCTAGGCCAGTTATTCCCACAACCAACAGTCATCCATGAAGTAGGAACCAGTGAGTGCTTTTATCATATGTTATGTTATACAGACATCATCATCATGTAGCAGGTTCTTTGCAAACATTGCTGTCATTATGGTCTGCCTGAAAGAAACTTGGTCTCTCACTAGAGTGACCATATTGTCAGGATGGTATCGTTATTTAGGTAGGCACTATCCCATCGGTACTCAACAACAAAAATTCTATTGTCCAATTAAAGTTGAGTATTGATGGGAGGGTCTGGGCCTACCTTAAAAATGATACTGGCTTGGCAAAAAACTTGACTTATAGTCACCCTATCTCTCACCAGCTCTCCTGCCTCCTACATTTTCCTATTCAAGGTGTCACTTATATCAAGTGCCCATCTTCATGCTGGTTGGTCCCTGCCTGTCTTTCCTGGTACCACGCCTTCTGCTATTATTTTTCCAATCCACTGTGACACCCTAGGCTTGTTTTTTGAATCTTTGCAGTGCTACAGGCTACATTGCTGTTTTATCACATTGGTAGACACAATGAATGAAAACTGGAATTAGGAGTTGTCAAAGAACTATCTCAGTGAACAAAAACTGGAATTAACAATTGTTAGAGCTATTTTAGTAACTGAAACCTGGAGGTAACAATTGTTAAAGCTAACGCAGTTACTGAAAACTGGAATTAACCATTTTTAGAGCTATCTCAGTTACTGAAGCTTGGAATTAACCATTTCTAGAGCTATCTAAATTAAATAAACCTGGAATTAACAATTGTTAGAGCTATATAAGTTAACGAAGTCTCAGTAACTGAATACTGGAATTAACTATTTTTAGAGGTATCTCAGTAACAGACCCGTCAGTCCTATCTGAATAATTTCCATGCAGCGGATCCCATTTATCCCAGCTGAAGAATTTCCATGCAGCAGATCCCATGTATCCCAGCTAAAGAATTTCCATACAGCAGATCCCAGGTATCATAGCTGAAGAATTTCCATACAGCAGATCCCATGTATCCCAGCTGAAGAATGTCCATACAGCAGATCTCATTTATCCCAGCTGAAGAATTTCTATGCAGCAGATCCTATGTATCCCTGCTGAAAAATTTCCATGCAGCAGATCCCATGTATCCCAGCAGAAGAATTTCTATGCAGCAGATCCCATATATCCCAGCAGAAGAATTTCTATGCAGCAGATCCCATGTATCTTAGTTGAAGAATTTCCATACAGCAGATCCCAGCTGAAGAAGTTTCATGCAACTTCCCATGTATCCCTGCTGAAAAATTTTCATGCAGCACATCCCATGTATCCCAGCTAAAAAACTTCCATGCAGCTGTTCCCATTTATCTCAGCTCATAAATTTAGATTATCATTCAGTATCTGTTCTCATTATGCCTAGTGGCACATGAGGCTTCAGAGAGGACTTTCCATGCTTTCCTGTCCTGTGCAATCTTCAGTGCAGTTTTCCATGTCAAAGATGCTGCACTCAGGTCACTTTCCATCATTCGTCTCCATGTTGTTTTTGGGCGCCCCTGTTTTCTCTTTCCCTCTGGTGTCCATGTGAGAGCTGTTTTGGCAGGTATATCAGAAGTCATTCTCATAACGTGGCCAAGCCATTTCCATCTTCTCTTGGTAATTATACTGTCTAAAGTTTCTTTGTTTGTGGCTTGAAGTAGTTTAGTGTTTGAGATTGTATCTGGCCAGAAAATTTTGATAATTCTACGTAGACATGTGTAGTGGAAGGTGGACAGCTTGTGTGCATCCTTTTAGGTCATTCTCCAGCATTCCATAAAGAAGAACTGGCAAAATGATGCTCTTGTAGAGTCAAAGTTTTGTTCCTCTGCAGTAATTGTTGGATTTCCAGATTTGCCTCATCCTTCCGAAAGCAGCTCTAGCTTTGTTCAGACGTGACTGTATGTCTTCCTCTGTCCCTCCCAGTAGGGACACCACACTGCCAAGATATGGGAAATGTTCTACATTTTCAAGTGATTGGTTACTTATGGTCACTGGTTGTTGGTTTGGACTGTTTGTCATGATCTTAGTTTTCTTTGTATTTATTCTCAGTCCCACCATTTCTACTGTGCAGTTTAGTCTGTTACTTTTCTCTTGTATATGTTCATGTTTATGTGATAGGAGTGCTATATCATCTGCAAAATCAAGGTCCTCAAGCATGGTGAATGGAGTCCATCGTATGCCTCTTAATGTCCTTTCTACTGTGTTCTTTAGTATCCAATCAATCACAAGGTTGAAGAGGAGAGATGACATAACACATCCCTGTCTTACACCCGTCTTTACTGGGAAAGATGTATTGTAGTTTTTTATACTGCAGGAAAAGTCTTTATAGAAGAGATCAATTATGTTGACTATTTTTTCTGGAATTCCATAATGTCGTAAAATTTTCCACAGACCGTCTCTATGGACGCTATCAAAAGCTTTCTCAAAGTCCACAAAATTAATATATATACTTCTCTGCCATTCGTTGCATTGTTCTAAAATGTTACGTATGGCGAAGATGTGCTCAGTTGTTCCTCTGCCCTTTCTGAATCCTGCTTGTTCCACTCGTAGGCATTTATCTACTCCTTTTTCAAGCCGCATTATGATGATTTTACAAAATATTTTGCTTGGTACTGGGAGTAGAGTAATTTCCCTCCAATTATTGCAGTCTGTTAAGTCTCCTTTTTGGGGGATTTTGACTATTGTTCCTTCAGTCCAGTCATCAGGCAACACTTCTTTTTCCCAAATATCCTTGAACAATGGTTCTAGAATGCTAGCAGTTGCTTTGGGATCTACTTTGAGAAGTTCTGCTGGCAGTTCGTCTTTGCTTGGTGCTTTGTTGTTCTTTAAAGTGTGGAGAGCTTTAAGGATTTCTTGTTTGCTTGGTGGTTCAGTAATAATGTCAATTTCCTGAGAGGCTGGTTGAATATCTGGGGGATTTTCAGGATCAGGTCTGATCAAGAGGTCGGAGAAGTGTTTAGTCCACTGCATGTCTTGTTTTTGTTCTGTGGTGAGCAGTCTGCCTTGGTTATCTCTGTTGGGTATGCTGTGATAATTGTTTCTGTTTCTGCAAATTTGCTGGGTAATTTTGTGTAGGGTTTGTAGATCATTTGCTTTAGCAGCATTTTCTGCTGTTTCTGCAAGATTTTCCTTAAATCTTCTCTTGTCAGCTCTGGCACTTTTCTTGGTCATTTTATTTAGTTCGCTATATTCTAACATTAGTTTGTCTTTCTGACGTTCTGATTTAGTGTGATTTATGAGGCTCTTTATTCTTTTTCGCTTGGCAATATAGTCCATGGTTTGACTACTTATCCATTCTTTGTGGTGTTGTTTCCTGGTTCCTAATATGTTATTGCTAGTTGATTTGTATGTTTCTTTGATCTGGTTTCATCTGTCTTGAATGCTGATTGTAGTTGGAGTTTCTGGGTCACTTGATAGGGTTTGAAATCTATTCTTGAGTTCTACTATAAATTTAGTGGCAATGTCTTTTTCTCTTAAAAGGTTAACATTGTAATGTGCTGTCTGTGTCTTAACTTGCGTGTAAACTTTTTTGAGTTTAAGTCGTAGTAGAGCGACTACAAGGTGATGATCGCTTCCCACATCTGCTCCCCTTTTGACATGCACATCGAGTAGGGACCCACGCCATTTTCTGTTTACCATGAAATGGTCTATCTGGTTTACATCTCTTCTGTTTGGGGATATCCATGTAAGCTTGTGTATATTCTTGTGAGGAAATAGTGTTCCTCCTATAACAAGTCTATTCGCCGTGCAGAAGTCGCTCAGTCTTTCCCAGTTGTCATTAATTGTACCACATGCTTGATTTCTCATTGATAGTTCTCTATTCAAGTTGTTGTTACCTTTTGCATTGAGATCTCCCATAATGCATAGAATATCATGGGCTGTTACTTTATCTACTACCTCTTGCAGTCTCCTTTAGAATGTTTCTTTATCTTCATCTTCAGCTTCATTAGTCGGTGCGTAGCATTGGATGACTGTAAGTTTGGCGTGTTTGCCATTGAATCGTGCTGTCACTATTTTTTCATTGAGATTATGCTGACTTCCAAAAGGTAAAATGTAAAATGAAAGTCATAGTTGCAAAGACAGCATTTAACAAACTTATGAAATCTATCTTTGTCATTTGAGAAGAGAAAGTGAATTTGTAAAAGCTATATAAATCCTATTCTGACATACAGAAGTCAATCATAGATAGCTGGCTGATTAATGAAAAATTATTTGGAAGATGTGGAGATGTGGTTTTATAGATGAATGATGAGAATACATATCCTGAACAGATAAAAAAGAGTAATGAAGGCATCTTGAAAGAAACTGCCTCACAAAGAGAATTGATTGCCTACAACAGAAGGAGGTGATCTACATTCTTTGGTCATGACAAGAAAAGAAGAAAACTGGAGTACATCATGGCAGTGGGAAAGCTGGAGGGGAAGAGAGGCAGAAGGAGACAGAGAAAGAGGAGATACTAGACAGTTTGACATCATGGTATGGAAGATCATCTGTGTCAGAGTCTGACTGAAAGTACTCTGAAGACATAAGGTTGAGTACAGAAATGACTAACATCGCTGCATGTTGAGAAGAAGAAGAAGTTGCAGAAGTTTCCTCTTCCACATTAATAAAATCTCTGTCACTCAATCATTTTCAGTGGAGATTTACCCAACACTCTATAGTTTCATTTGTTTAATAATTTGTGCCTTATTTCAGGTCACATTTACGGACAAGAATACCGACCAGCAGTGACTGCTGCCTCTCAGATACGTCGTAACTTGGACAATCTCAGTGATGGAGAGATAGAAAGTCTGCGTGCAGCTTTCCTGGCAATACAGAATAATAGTATTTACCAAAATATTGCGTCTTACCATGGCAAGCCAGGACTCTGTGAACATGAGGGACACAAGGTTGCATGCTGTGTCCATGGCAAACCAACTTTCCCATCTTGGCATCGACTGTATGTGGAACTGGTTCGTACACATTTTTTTAATGTTTATAACAATCCAGTAATCATTAACCTCAATTACATCCATTTTTTTTTTTAAAAATAAATGTAAATGTGCACAAGAGAAATGTGACAGAAATAAAGTTTTGTAGAACCCCCTTAAAAAGAGTGATGAGATAACAGAATTCACAGAGATGACAGTGAAACAAACTATGTTTACAGCAAGACATGCTCTGAGTATATGTGACGAAGCAATGAAACGAGTGAACAACTGCAGCAACAACAGTTGCAACCGAACATGAACGTTGACTGTAAATCCTCTTCTCCTTTTTTTGTAAACTCTGGTGGAAAGTTCTGGTTGTTCATCCACTTTTGTCATATATATGTTCAAATACCTGAGTGTTACATGCACATCCGTTTAAATCTGATTTACTTGTGTGCAGATTGTTGGTTCCTTGCCTCTCAGGCGGATGCACTCTGACTTTGACTGAAGCACCCTATTAGTCGACTCTTACAACATGCTTTTTGAGGAAGCAGTTGGTCTCTACAACAGCATGATGTGCCTATGGTCGAGGCGACCAGAAGAGCTAGAGACAGAACCTTATATCTCCCTCGACACCCACAGCGGTAAAAGAGGAAGTGAAGAAGAAGAAGTGGGTCTATACTTGTTTTTCTCCACAATGGGGTCCTGGAACCCACCCAGGAATTACTAAATATCTGCACAACAGTTACTGATAAAGGATGTTGCTAGAGCATCAGACCCATACCAGGCTGTCTTGGAAATTGGTTGCTTGAAAGGACAGTGCCAAGATGTGTAGGAAGGCTGTCAGGATAAGTGGGGAAGCTTGAGAAGTGATCTGGGATGGAGCAAATATTCAAACCCAAACGCTGAAGACCCATGTGGAGAAAGGTTCCATGTTAACACCAGTTGAACATGAGTAAGCTGGTCCTAAGAGATAGGAAAACTCAGTTCTGACCCAAGGTACTCTGTATTTTTATGTCCCTTTAGAGTCTGCCTACAGCCTATCAAAATGGAATTAGATTAATATTCCTGAACCTGGACAGAGATATCAGCTTCTGTAGTGGGCTTTGTTCTGAACGTATCGTTGTTAGCGTTTCTTTGGAGTAAACAAGGCAAGGTGAGAAAGTTGAGTTGATTCAAGAATTGACAACACAGCACTCGGGGCATTTCCATGCATTCTCCATCCTCATCTTCAGCAGCCAGTGCAGAGTTCCAATACTGATGGTACGGTCACAATCTGGTTATATGTCCGTCTTGCCTTTCCTCTGAGTTTAGTGAGCCAGCCAGATCCTCTGGTTACGCTCTGGTGCCTCATTCTTTCCAGGTCATAATAATCTTGTTTCTCTACTGATTCTGTTGCTTGTTCCCAAAGGGCCTTGACCACATCTGCCTTATGGTGAAAAAGAGATCATGATGCATAGGTAATACTAGGTCTCTACAATACAGCCTAGGCTTTCTGCTTGGGAGAGGAGAAAATGGACAGATCTTTCTAGTGATATTCACAGTCACCATGAGCAGTCATTCCTGTGCCTCCCTATAACACAGTATAACAGTATCAAATAAAAAGACGGAAAGATGCTAGTCAGTCAGTGGCAACAGCAAGACATGAACATTGACTATATACAACATATATATAAATATATGTTGAAGCACTGAGGCACAATGTACCTCTTATTTCAGCTACTGCATGCATTGGCTACTGTAACTGTCTAATAGATTAGGGCTCATTTTAATTTATAACTGAGGTTTTCTCATATTTCAAGCTTTTTGTCATGATCTTATTTCAGCTGTCCACTTTTTGCCATAAGCTTATTTTAGCTATCCACTTTTTGCCATGATCTTATTTCAACTGTCAAATTTGTTGCCATCATCTTATTTCAGCTGTCCACTTTTTGCCATGATCTTATTTCAGCTGTCCACTTTTTGCCATGATCTTATTTTAGCTGTCTACTTTTTGCCATGATCTTTTTTCAGTTGTCCAATTTTTGCCATGATCCTATTTCAGCTGTCCACTTTTTGCCATGATCCTATTTCAGCTGTCCACTTTTTGCCATGATCCTATTTCAGCTGTCCACTTTTTGCCATGATCCTATTTCAGCTGTCCACTTTTTGCCATGATCCTATTTCAGCTGTCCACTTTTTGCCATGATCCTATTTCAGCTGTCCACTTTTTGCCATGATCCTATTTCAGCTGTCCACTTTTTGCCATGATCCTATTTCAGCTGTCCACTTTTTGCCATGATCCTATTTCTGCTATCCACTTTTTGCCATGATCCTATTTCAGCTGTCCACTTTTTGCCATGATCCTATTTCAGCTGTCCACCTTTTGCCATGATCCTATTTCAGCTGTCCACCTTTTGCCATGATCCTATTTCAGCTGTCCACCTTTTGCCATGATCCTATTTCAGCTGTTCACTTTTTGCCATGATCCTATTTCAGCTGTCCACTTTTTGCCATGATCCTATTTCAGCTGTCCACTTTTTGCCATGATCCTATTTCAGCTGTCCACTTTTTGCCATGATCCTATTTCAGCTGTCCACTTTTTGCCATGATCCTATTTCAGCTGTCCACTTTTTGCCATGATCCTATTTCAGCTGTCCACTTTTTGCCATGATCCTATTTCAGCTGTCCACCTTTTGCCATGATCCTATTTCAGCTGTCCACCTTTTGCCATGATCCTATTTCAGCTGTCCACCTTTTGCCATGATCCTATTTCAGCTGTTCACTTTTTGCCATGATCCTATTTCAGCTGTCCACTTTTTTTTGCCATGATCCTATTTCAGCTGTCCACTTTTTGCCATGATCCTATTTCAGCTGTCCACTTTTTGCCATGATCCTATTTCAGCTGTCCACTTTTTGCCATGATCCTATTTCAGCTGTCCACTTTTTGCCATGATCCTATTTCAGCTGTCCACTTTTTGCCATGATCCTATTTCAGCTGTCCACTTTTTGCCATGATCCTATTTCAGCTGTCCACTTTTTGCCATGATCCTATTTCAGCTGTCCACTTTTTGCCATGATCCTATTTCAGCTGTCCACTTTTTGCCATGATCCTATTTCAGCTGTCCACTTTTTGCCATGATCCTATTTCAGCTGTCCACTTTTTGCCATGATCCTATTTCAGCTGTCCACTTTTTGCCATGATCCATCTTCAAAAATAAAGAAACTAACAGGGATATGGTGGTTAGGAGATGTGGACTTAACATTGTCACCAGATATGTATTTATACATTTATTCTCTACAGGTTGAGCAGGCTCTCTTGCATCATGGATCATCTGTACCAGTTCCATACTGGGACTGGATCAGCCCCATACCAAAGTTGCCCAAACTCATCACCAAGGCAACATACTTTAACTCACGGCAGCAGAGGTTTGACCCCAACCCTTTCTTCAGTGGGCAAGTAGCTGGTGAGAACGCTGTGACTACCAGGTAATTCATTCATTCATTGTCATGTTGTACCATTATATGCCACATAGGGTAATTCATTCATTCATTGTCATGTTGTACCATTGTATCCCACATAGGTTAATTCATTCATTCATTGTCATGGGGTACTATTACACCCCACATAGGTTCATTCATTCATTCATTCATTCATTCATTCATTGTCATGTTGTACCATTATATCCCACATAGGTTAATTCATTCATTCATTGTCATGTTGTACCATTATATGACACATCCACACATAGGTTCATTCATTTCGTACCATTATTCATTGTCATTCATGTTGTACCATTATATGACACATAGGTTCATTCATTCATTTCATTGTCATGTTGTACCATTATATGACAACATAGGGTAATTCATTCATTCATTGTCATGTTGTACCATTATATCCCACACAGGTTCATTATTCATTAATTTTTTGTCATGTTGTACCATGACACATTTCATTCATTCATTCATTGTCATGTGTAGCCCATTATATGACACATAGGTTCATTCATTCATTATTCATTCATTGTCAATGTTGTCATTATTGACACATAGGTTCATTCATTCATTCATTGTCATGTTGTACCATTATATGTACCACATAGGGTAATTCATGCATTCATTGTCATGTTGTCATTATATGACACATAGGTTAATTCATTCATTCATTGTCATGTTGTACCATTATATCCCACATAGGTTAATTCGTTCATTCATTGTCATGTTGTACCATTATATGACACATAGGTTTATTCATTCATTCATTGTCATGTTGTACCATTATATCCCACACAGGTTCATTCATTCATTCATTGTCATGTTGTACCATTATATGACACATAGGGTAATTCATGCATTCATTGTCATGTTGTACCATTATATGACACATAGGTTAATTCATTCATTCATTGTCATGTTGTACCATTATATCCCACATAGGTTAATTCATTCATTCATTGTCATGTTGTACCATTATATGACACATAGGTTCATTCATTCATTCATTGTCATGTTGTACCATTATATGACACATAGGATGCGCAGTCAGCTCCTCCATTCCATTTTATTCTATGCATGCAATCCTTTCTAATTTCATGGATGGTATTCAGTCTTGCATCTTTTGCCTCTCTCATCAACATTTATTGTAAGGGTTTTGTTTTTGACATCCTCACCTCCTGAGTCTTTTTATTTCACATTTTAGTGCCCACTTGGTGATTCTCTGCTTAACTCTTCTCAAGATGTGCCTACCCATATAGCAACATCTTTTCTTGTCTTATACCTGTTGATACTATAGTGGTTGTCCAGACATTTCTCTTACTTCTTCAACCCTCTTATATTCATCCCATTTTATGTTCAACATTTTCTTATTTGCTGTTGGTACTTTCTTATCTAATGTTGGTACTCTATTTTCTGATGCTGGTATTCTTCTTATCTGATTTTGGTGCTTTGTTATCTGGTGTTGATACTTTCTTTTTTTTTTTCCTGTCAGTACTCTCTTATCTGTTGTTGAAATTTTCTTATCTGGTGTTTATATTTGCTTATCTGCTGTTGGTACTTTCTTTTGTGGTGTTAGTAAACCTTTTTTATCTTATGTTGTTACCCTCATAACTAGGGTCAGTTTAAAAAAAAAAAAGCTGTCTGAATGAGGATTGAAACCCAAGACCTTTAAGCCAGTAGGCAAGTATTTAGCTGTTCACCTATCACAGCTCCATATCAAAATATGTTGTATTCAAATTACTTATTTCAAATGCAGTCTATGTGTGAAAAGTGATAGCTTCGGGAACACTCATACTTGACCTGGGACATTTCTAAAATGTTTTATGAATGAATGCTGATAGAAGAAACAGGTTAGATAAAATGACATGTGTAAGAATTTGTGAAAGAAGAACTGGAAGTGGGTCCGGCAAGGATGGATGGATGGCAGGGAGAGAACATCATGTGTATAATCAGTGTGCTATGGAAACAGTTAACATCTACACCTTAAGACAGAGATGGAGCATCTGTGGATATGCTCAGTGTGCCATGATGTCAGTTCTTAAATCAGTATTCAATAATCAGTCAGTCTTTGCCATCTGATATCTGTGCTTGTAACCTCCTGTAATGCATACAACTTGCAGAGACCCCCAGCCAGAACTGTTCAACAATGATTACTTCCTGGAGCAGGCTCTGTTTGCTTTGGAGCAGGACCACTACTGTGACTTTGAGATCCAGTTTGAGATTGTCCACAACGCGCTACATTCATGGCTTGGAGGTCATGCTCGCTACTCCATGTCATCGCTGGACTATGCCGCCTTTGATCCTGTCTTCTTTCTTCACCATGCAAATACAGACAGGCAAGTATCATTACTAGACTTAAACAAATTTCACACTTACTTAGTTAGTCAGTAGTCATTATATTCACACTTACAGAGTTAGTCAGTAGTCATCATATTCACACTTACAAAGTTAGTCAGTAGTCATTATATTCACACTTACAGAGTTAGTTAGTAATCATTATATTCACACTTACGGAGTTAGTCAGTAGTCATCATATTCACACTTACAGAGTTAGTCAGTAGTCATCATATTCACACTTACAGAGTTAGTCAGTAGTCATCATATTCACACTTACAGAGTTAGTCAGTAGTCATCATATTCACACTAACAGAGTTTATCAGTAGTCATTAGTTGAGGTTCTCGCTTCACTGCAAACAAGTCACAACACAGGAGGCCCTAGTATATCTATAAGAAAAAGTGTTATCTTTCTAAGAGAACATGTTTTGTGTTGTGTTATCTCCAGGGGGAAGGCTTGGTATTGGTATAGGTCATTAGTGGAGGAGGAGGGTATTAGGCTCTCGTATATTAAGAAGAAAAGTGTGTATCTTTCGGAGAGAACATGTTTTATGCTATGTTATCCTCCAGTAGCACTGATAAGAAGAAAATAAGTGCTGTCTCTCAGTGTTAAGTGCTGTCTCTCTGTGTTAAGTGTTGTCTCTCTGTGTTAAGAGCTGTCTCTCTGTGTTAAGTGCTGTCTCTCTGTGTTAAGTGCTGTCTCTCTGTGTTAAGTGCTGTCTCTCTGTGTGAGTACATTTTACAGATGCATGCTGTCTATGGGTGATTACACTTCTTGGATGAATTTACTGCAAGGTTTTGGGCTTCCAGTCAATATGGATGATAGGCTCGTTTACTGCTTTTTAGTCGTGGCAAGCTTTCACTTCTGAAAATAGTTGGCCATTGCATTTTCCTCCATATGTAAACTGAGGTGATATAGTTTTGTCACCCAGCTACTGAGTTGAATGCATATCGCAATACTGTGCTGTGGATTTCATTTGGAATTTTTTTTACTTTGTGGGTGTGGTTCGTGTTGGGGAACTGTAGTTTCAGAGTTATGGCACATGGCTTGTTACCATGGAGCTGGTGGTGCCTCATGTGACTAATCGCCTGTTTAACTACTGATTTGTTGTAACTTTTGCTTCTATCGATGATGAACTGCATTTCTAGTGCTGAATCACGTTAGCACTTCTGGCTGCTGCCTTATGTATTTAATGCATGTGTAGGCTTTTGGATCTGCACACACTTGGTGTCACCAACTGGAAAGAGAGGGCCAACCAGAGAGATGAATGGAGGCGGGTGATATTTGCAGCAATAAACTTCAAGGGCTCGGAATGCTGAAGAAGAAGAAAAAGTGGGCTGTTGGATGTGCAGCAACTGCAATCCATGTCAATTTTTCCACAAGTAACACAGTGACTGACATTCTGTGTGGTTTTCGTTAGTACAGAGAAATGTTCAGAAATGAACATCAGTCTTAATAGTGCTCTTGACAGAGCTCATCAATAAATTTTACATCCTCCCACCCTGACACTTCGATGAAGTACAAGGTAGAAGAGAAGAAGAAGAAGAAGAAAAAGACTGCTAAGATACATAGTTTAGAAGATAAAAATGAAACCACCGCACATTGTATGCTGGTCTTTTGACAGTCATCGTGTGATGTGTATGTATCACTGATTTCTATGCACCCAACATTTGATGGCCTGATGTAACATGTGACAATATTTGCTAATTTGTTATGATTGGAATGACGACCGAAAAAAATATTGTATCACATTTGGGAAGAGTTGTGTGTTTGTCACTTGTAGTAGTTGTTGGGAAATGTCTCCTGCATGAAAGATGGTTGCATTCCAAATGATCTCCTGTATTTTCAACTGGAAGCAGGGAATAGAATTGCGGAAAGGCCAAGGCTGTACAGTAAGGATGTATCCAAACATGAAATGAGACACAGATACTTGGGAGAGATCAGCTGCTGACCAACTCCTATTGAGGTAGACACTGAAAGACAGACTGTCAATCTTTGCTATAGGACAAGTGTAGCAAGCTATAGAGAGGAAACAACTGAGAGAAAACAAGCCTCAGGATAATAGAGTTTTAACAATTTTATGGGGACTATGTGGCAGAGACTGCCACCCCCGCATTGTAATTTACTGTCACAGCAGTCAATATAAAACTGAATGAAAAGTATATCAGCAAGCTTCACAATATAACAAACACAAACAAAACATGAACTATGGAGCCTTCATCAGCAAATACATAAATCAAACAATATCACACAAATACACAAAATCACTTAGCTTAGTATCTCGAAGCAGCCAGGTCAATGTTTTGCCAATAGAGAGATGACACACGTGAGACAGGAGTATAAATACCCCCGGGGAATGCCCAGGGCCGTAACTGGAGGGTTTTAGATAAAACTGTGTGGGCAATTTAATCCCCAGGGATTTTAGACAAAACTGTGTTGGCGGTTCAGTCCTCTAGGTATTAACGGGCTCTAAGTGAAATAGAGCCATTTTAAAGAGACTTGCAAACTTCTGAGACATGAGAAACGTTTCTGCAGAAAAACATGTTGCTTATCATGCCTGGCAACCATTGTTAGAATCTCATCAGTGATGTGTTCCCCTCTTTGGCACAGGCTGTGGGCCATCTGGCAAGAGCTGCAACGTTACAGAGGCTTGCCTTACAATGAGGCCGACTGTGCCATCAATCTGATGAGAAAACCATTGAGACCATTTTCTGATGAGACCAACACAGATGATCTAACCAAGAAATACAGGTAACTGCAGTTATTGTTCCCTCAAGTGTCCTCTCTTGCATCTAATGTGTCCTTTTGCTTCTTCGATTGTGTCCTTGCAAATGTCCTCTCAAATGTCCTCTCATATGCCCTCTCATATGTCCTCTCATATGTCCTTTCTTATGTCTTCTCTTGTGTCCTCTCATGTGTCCTATAATATTTCATCTCTTGTTTCCTCCCATATATCCTCTCTTGTATCCTCTCATATGTCCTTTCTTGTATCCTCTCGTCCTCTCTTGTGGTCATATGTCCTCTTGTATCTTCTTGTATAATCATGTTGCATATTTGTTTAGATCTTTAAAACTGCTGACACTGTTCATTCTCTGTCGTATTTAGAGTACTGTGTAAATGTCTTTAATAATAGCAGGATGTAGAATTTAGATTCCTTTAGCTGTTTCAAAAATGCATGCATACACATGTTTCTAAAGTGCCTATATATAGCAACTACTACTTTTTGAAAAGCTGATAGAGCAGATGGGGCAACCATCTCTGTTGACACACAAGCAGATACCCCGGAGTACTAAAGTGAATCTTATCCGAACTATTTTTTGGCCAACACTATGCTATCAGTGCCAAACATAGACACTTACATCCTCCAATGAACGTAAAATTGAGACAACAGAGATGAAATGCCTTAGAAGAGCTGCAGGAGTTTCAAGGAAAGACAATACGAGATCACATAATCAGACGAATGCTAGGAATAAAGCCAGTCTTACAGGTCATCAAAGAACAACAAATGAAGTGGTTTGGACACCTAACAAGAATGCCCTTGTACTATCCACCACAGCGAGCCACACTAAAACGTTACAACGGGTATAGAGCGAGTGGAAGACCTCGGAAAATATGGAGTGATGGCATTAAGAACAGCCTTACAGAAATGAACATCAGTCTTAATAGTGCTCTTGACAGAGCTCATCAACAAATGTTACATCTCACCCTGACATGTCGCTGAGGTACAAGGTGGAAGAGAAGAAGAAGAAGGAAAAACAGAAGAGCAGATTGTTGACAATAACCCACAATTACAATGGTGCCTCAGAATTTCTATATAATGTGTTCCAGGTAAGTGATCGAATTGCAATTTTTTTTTTTTTTTCAAGTTCGAAGGCATTTTGTTTTCATTGAAAATAATGAAAACTAAATTAATCTGTCCCAGGGTCCAGCAAACTCAAGTTTTCACATACACTGATACCACTTTCATGCTTAGAGATAACTTCTTTTTTATTGGCAATTGTTACTGGAAGCAATTTTCTGTTACTTTAATTTTCAACAGTACACTTGTTAACAACCACAACTAATTCACTAAGAGTTGTATTTGAAAAAACACAATTTCAAACCATACACACAAATTTATCAAATTAACTGAAGCATAGGTGGGTGCTGTGTATTAGCATGTGGCTAGCACATGCCATGCATTCAGTTTCTGAAGTGCCATTCAAATTACAGGGCAAAATTTACTTGAAAATTGTGTTTAGATTCCAAGTTGTTAGAATTTTGAAGCATTCGGTTTCTGAGGTATCGTTGTAGTTTAATAAACCATAAGACTAAATACTAATACAACTAAAATAATAGGAGAATTATTCAAATAAATGATAAACTAAGATAGTGTGTGTGTATCCTTGTGTGTGTATCCTTGTGTGTGTGTGTGTTTGTGTGTGAGAGAGGAACGAATGAACAAACGAATAAACAAACTTTATTTTTAAAGGGTTAAGAATTGGGCACGCAGGCCCGTCTAAAATTCAGTCCTTCGAGGTCTCCCTCCATTCTTACATCATTTCATTCACACATCAAGTAATATTAAAAGTTAGCATTAGCATCAAAATAATCAATACAAGCACTAAGAGAAAGAGAGGGAGAGAGATAGAGAGAGTAGACCAGTGTCAATTAACCGGGTGAGATAGTAGACTAGTGTCAGTGAACCAGATGGTTTGTTTCAATGTTCTGTTATTTACAATCTACTGACACCTGCTGGTGATTAGGGTAATGTGTAATTATGTTTATATATGTATATTTTTGCATCTGTCTGTTTGTTGTTTTGTGCATGCTTGTATATACTCTCATATGAGATGAGATCAGTGTTTATAAAAACACATTTTTTTTAAATAGGATAACAGTTGTTGACATGTTTAGATAGAAACATAAACCTGATTTCATATATATATACACACATAAATATATATATTTTATAAAGAAGTTGAACCTCTTTTTATAGACACATACATATGTTTTGATATTTTTCCTTTGTGGGCTGTAATTTTTAGTTATTTTCAAGCCCCACCCTAGCTTTTGCCGGAGGCCCTAAATATAGCCGGGCCTTAAATGTGGCCTAATGTCTGAACGAGGTTTCCAGGACCTCTCCATGGGTGATCCTCATCTGCATGGTGGCACTTTGTGTCACCGGGTGTTTATTGCTTGTGTGATGTCCTGGTGGGGTATAACTTACCTACCTACATATCTTTTGATGGAAATGTAAACTTTGTTTTGGGGTGTTTTTTTAGAAGCATGAGAATATTTTGACAAAATAAAACAATAGATTATTTTGTAACTACAGGGGTCTCAATATAACTGTTATAAAGTAGTAAAGTTCCCTTTTCACGCCTTTCGGCGCATCGGGCATATGGGCAGAGCGTCCCATATTTTTACAGACCATCAGCACTCTGTGGGTAATGTGGTCAGCATTACGCCGGCTGTCTTTACTTTCCCAGGACAGCCCATGGATTTTCTACGATGCGACGTTACCACGATAAAAATCCATGCAGCCTTCAGTGGGTTTCGATCGCGGTATGCTGGCTTACGAGTCGGACTCGCAACGCCTTAGCCACGGACGCCGCAAGGATTTAATAAATTCATGTAAAAAAGAAAAAAAAAACCGAGTCCTTGAGTCACTGGGTTTCCTACAGGCTGCAATCATCAGTAGAAACATTTTGTTTTAAATGCTCTGGCACATAAAATAAACATGTTTCAAAACATAAACCTATTTCCAGCCGCCCCATTGACACCTTCGACTACCGCAACCACTTCCACTATGAGTACGACAGTCTGGAGTTCAACCACCTTAGCATCCCTGAGCTAGAGGAGCTTATCCAAAGTCGAAGAAGGAATGGACGTGTATTTGCCGGATTCCTCATCCACAATATTGGCCTGTCAGCGGATGTGGACATTTATGTCTGCGTGCCTGTGGGAGATACTGGAAAACAGAACTGTGATCACAAGGTGATGTTGATTCATGTCTAGTGATCTGTGACCAATTGATAAGTATAAAATCTGATTCACTGACATTTCTACAGTAAACAAGTTAAATCTGTGTCTGCACCATGTGTGACAGTGGATCAGTGTCACTATTGCAGGTGAGGTAGTGGGACAATGTCAGTAAACCAGGTGAGATAGTGTAACAATGTCATTAAACCAGGTGAGATGGTAGAACAGTGTCAGTAAACCAGGTGAGATAGTGGCTCAGTATCAATGTCAGATAGTGGGATAGTGGGACAATGTCAGTAAATCAGGTAAGATAGTGGAACAATGTCAGTAAACTAGGTGAGATAGTGGAACAATGTCAGTAAACCAAGTGAGATAGTGGAACAATGTCAGTAAACTAGGTGAGATAGTGGAACAATGTCAGTAAACCAAGTGAGATAGTGGCTTAATATCAATGTAAGATAGTGGAACTGTGTCAGTAAACTAGGTGAGATAGTGGAACAATGTCAGTAAACTAGGTGAGATAGTGTAACAATGTCAGTAAACCAGGTGAGATGGTAGAACAGTGTCAGTAAACCAGGTGAGATAGTAGCTCAGTATCAATGTCAGATAGTGGGATAGTGGGACAATGTCAGTAAATCAGGTAAGATAGTTGAACAATGTCAGTAAACTAGGTGAGATAGTGGAACAATGTCAGTAAACTAGGTGAGATAGTGGAACAATGTCAGTAAACTAGGTGAGATAGTGGAACAATGTCAGTAAACCAAGTGAGATAGTGGCTTAATATCAATGTAAGATAGTGGAACAATGTCAGTAAACTAGGTGAGATAGTGGAACAATGTCAGTAAACCAAGTGAGATAGTGGCTTAATATCAATGTAAGATAGTGGAACAATGTCAGTAAACCAAGTGAGATAGTGGCTTAATATCAATGTAAGATAGTGGAACAATGTCAGTAAACCAAGTGAGATAGTGGCTTAATATCAATGTAAGATAGTGGAACAATGTCAGTAAACTAGGTGAGATAGTGGAACAATGTCAGTAAACCAAGTGAGATAGTGGCTTAATATCAATGTAAGATATTGGAACAATGTCAGTAAACCAAGTGAGATAGTGGCTTAATATCAATGTAAGATAGTGGAACAATGTCAGTAAACTAGGTGAGAAAGTGGAACAATGTCAGTAAACCAAGTGAGATAGTGGCTTAATATCAATGTAAGATAGTGGAACAATGTCAGTAAACTAGGTGAGAAAGTGGAACAATGTCAGTAAACCAAGTGAGATAGTGGCTTAATATCAATGTAAGATAGTGGAACAATGTCAGTAAACTAGGTGAGAAAGTGGAACAATGTCAGTAAACCAAGTGAGATAGTGGCTTAATATCAATGTAAGATAGTGGAACAATGTCAGTAAACTAGGTGAGAAAGTGGAACAATGTCAGTAAACCAAGTGAGATAGTGGCTTAATATCAATGTAAGATAGTGGAACAATGTCAGTAAACCAGGTGAGATAGTGGACCAGTGTCAATAAAGAAGGTGGTGTAATATTGATTACATCCTGTGAATAAGTTCACAAAGAGTCAACAAAAATATACTTAAATGGGTAGCTAACATATGGAGTTAACAAGAACATATAAAAGAAACCCTAAGACTATAATTGATGAAAGAGGCCAAAGATTCTGGACAGGATTTTATCCATAATATTAAAAATATTGTGCAGGATAGGAAAAAATATCATTATGTGACATGAAATGGCATGACATGGTGATCATCTTTGCTATTCTTTCTCTTAGTATCCTTAGTAACCAGTTTTCTAATCCTGTAATCTGTATCTATGTCCTAGTGCAAAAGCTTGAATCTCCAACAAGACGATGATGATTATCACCAGTACTACTTTTTAAATTAGTGTCATTAAAAACAAAACATGTATTCCTGTAATCTATATCTGTGTCTTCATGTGAGAGCCTACATCCCTAAAAAGGATGATAATTGTCACCTTATTGTTTTCTTACTATTAGTGTCATCCATGACAAACCTAATGATCCTGTAATCTATATCTGTGTCCTCATCTGAGAGCCTACATCTCCAAAAGAATAATGATGATGATGATTGTCATATGTGCCATTGTTTCTTTTAGTGTAATTAACTCTTTGAGTCCCAAGGAACGCATCATACGTTCGTAGGTTCCTACCTAGAAGCCCACTGAACGCATAATGCGCTGATTTTATTACTTTCTTTGCTACCCCCTGAACCTGTGATGCAAAACCCCCTGGGACTCAAAGAGTTAATAACAAAAACGTGAAAGAAAACTAACCACCTGCGAAATGAGACATTTGAGAAATGCTGTGAACAAAACTAGAAGAGATCATACGAAAGACCAAGAAACTACAAGAACTATTGGAACACCTATGACTAAACTCATTGAAAAACAAAGGCTAAAATGAAATGACTTGACCATTTAATGAGAATGAATCCAATGGTGCCAGCAGTGACAGCGTACAATGTGAAAGTAGAAACACCAAGAGGTAGGGGATGACCAAGAAGAAGATGGATTGAAGGAGTCACTGATATCTTGAGACTCCAAAACAGCACAGCATATGGGGAAACCAAGTGAACCCTAACTCAGAAGCTGATCATCTGTTACCATGTGACACCTAGCAGCACAAATTAGAAAATGAACAAAAGAAAAATAGAATAACAAAACATGTGTTACTGTAATCCATATCTGTGTCCTCATGTGAGAGCCTACATCTCCAACAGGCTGGTACATTCTCTGTCCTTGGTGGTGAAACCGAAATGCCCTTTGAGTTTGATCGTCTGTTCAAAATCGACATCACAAGGACTGTCCGGGAACTGGGACTCAAGCTGGACAATGCAGCTGACTTCCAGCTGAAGGTCGAAGTTCGGGCACCCAATGGCAGCCAACTTGATCCACACATTCTACATGATCCATCCATCATTTATATTCCTGGCACAGGTATGTTGTCTTCAGCTGTTGTCATTGCCATGTTTCATGTTTGTTTATATTTCATTATTTGAACATTTTGTTGTTTTTATTTGTTATTGATTCCGTGGATTCTTACCTCAGACAACACATCATGTCCTCCGAGCCTGTGTTAAATAGCACATATCAAGGTAATAACTATTGGCTATGAGAAACACCGGTGCAAGCTAAACTTTGTGGGTCACTGAGTGAATTACAGGAAACAGGGAAGTTCATACTAGAGACAACACTGCAGATATAGATAATCTATTTCAAGCGAATGAAAGAAGAGGAAGGATTTTTGTTTGTTGTTCATCCATCACAAGGGATGAGGACCACTCTTTCTTTTATCCATCATGAAATTACTGTTTATTGTCTGTGAGTTCCATAGGTGACTTACAAGCCCAATACAGTCCCCTAAGGATCTATGATAATGAGGCAAGGAACAGCATCTATAGGTAAGGGGCCTTACACATGTCTTTCTAGCCTGCCTGCACTGTTAAGCTGCCCTTTTGCTAGATGCTTCACAAGTCACTGTGTCTCTTTGGATATACATACAGCCCTGTGCAGCAGTCTTCCAAGTGTCAGGGTTTAAAATGAAGACTTTAAATATGTTTTGTTGTTATTTATATGATGATGGTGATTCCTTCCTTTTCTGAAGAATGTCATCACATTTGTTTTGTTTACAAACTATACAGATGAAGTGGAGAACCCAGACGGCAGCATCAGCTCATATGTGGTCAGGAAGAATACTGACTCCCTGAGTCCCCTAGAAGGCTACCAGTTGGCCAAGGCTCTGATTGCTCTCAAGGAGGACAGCTCAGCAGATGGTTACCAAGCTATCGCAACATTCCACGCTATCCCCCCGCTCTGCCCCAGCCCTACAGCAAGCCGTAGGTGAGTACTCTTGTCCCACTCAGTATTAAACACATTGTTCCCAATGAAGGCTCAAGGTTCTCATTGTTGCAATGGGGGGGGGGGACAGACCCATAGCACTCTGTCATAAGAGTAATAGTAATTTTTCAAAATTATCCTGTTCAAACCTCAGGGTTATAATTGGAAAATATAGTGTTAATTGAGTTCTCAGAGTTTATGTGTATTATTTTACATTTATTTATCATGTAGTTATTTGGTCTCAAGGCTTGGTGTCTGCCTCGAGAGCTAGAGGTTTCAGGTTCAATCCCCAGTAAGGGCTGGGATTTTTTCACATGGATTTGGACTTTTACTAATTGCCCCTGGTCTCTAGGTAGTGAGATCGTAAAAAAATCCCTTGGCAGTTGGAAATCCAAAAGAGTAGTTTAACGGCACTGCCCGGGCAACATTTGGAGTTGAAATCTACCCAAAGTATTTTAGAATCATCCCCACTGCTACAGAGCCTGTGCACTGTGCTGAGCTTTTTCGGGCTCAGACTTGAGTTAGAAGAAGATCGGAGCATTTATGGATTACTACCCATGTGCCATGATGTTGATCTGTTGTTCAAACTTTAGACTGACCCAAAATGTAATTTGTATTGTTTTACATTTTGCTTATCACAACCTGTCATAAGAGTCAACCAGGTAATGTTACTTCCTTCGAAGTGGGACTATATCTGCATGAGAGGCAAGGAACTGACAGTCTGCATAAAAAAGCCAGATCTGTAAAACAAATGTGCAAGCAAAACTCAGGTTCTGGAACAAGACTAAAGTCCAGAAGTGGATGACCAACCAAAACTTTCAGCTGGAGTTTACAGCTGGTGAATGTGGGGATGAAGAAGAATCTATATTATAGCAGAGTCTGTCATGTTGTTGTAGAATGTTGTAGAATGTTGTATGACAGGCAGTGCAACTGTTGTAGAATGTTGTATAACTGTCAGTCCAGCTGTTGTAGAATGTTGTATATTCGTCTTTCCAGCAGTGACCTCTTGTGTAATATTTTTTCAACAATAATAGAACAAGCTTAACTCCCATGTAGTTTTGAATGCAACAGTATTATTTTTGTATCCTAGCACAACCATTTTATAGTCTCATAGAGCTGGAAGATACAGCTTTGGGAAGGAATGTGTTATAGTAAGGAATTAAATATAAAGGTTAACATAACAAAGAATGGGTTAGGAAAAGTGAAGAAATGTATAAAATATGTAGAGTAACTGTTGGATGTGTGGTGTATTCCTTGGTATTGAAAGAGTTAACAGATGTGACAAAATCTGTTGTAAAGTCAAGTCATGCATGATTGTTAACCATTTTTCCCTGTAAAGCCTAAAAAACAACACTTCCAGTTGAGTCTCATCATCATCATCAAGTTCCTTGCCAGCTGGCATAAGTGTTTATGCATCCCTATAGATCTCAGTCTTTGGTGTTTTGGATCAATTCCACTGATGATATTCCTCCACTACTTGAGCATTCCACCAACATTTCTCTTGGCCTGCCTCTGCCTCTTCTACCAGTGATCTTTCCAGCTGTCACGATATTTTCCAGTGCTCCTTTTCTCATCACATGACCAAAGAACTGTGTCTTTTTTTCATTGTTGTATATAATGTTCTATTTTCATTAGCCATTTACATGCAATCATTGTTAGTTGTATTCTAGCAGTCCAGCATATTCTCAACATTCTTCTTAAGAAAGACATTTCACTTGCCTCTAAACTCTGCTTAATTTGTTTGCTCACATTTCAAGATTTACTGCCATACAACAGAACAGGCTCGATGTAAAATATTAGTACTCGTTTTCTGATGTTAAATGAGAGTGATTTATTACTTAAGATGCTTTTTATCTTCCGAAACACTGCCTTTGCCTGACCAGTTCTGCTTTAAAGGTATGTCCCACATAGTCCATCTTATGTTATGAATGTCCCCAAATACTTGAATACATTAACTTGATTAAGGACTTTTTCTTCTATTGCTATGCCATATTTTGGAGTGATCTTCTTCTTTGAAATAACCATTGTTTCTGTTTTCTTGAGATTTGAGGAAAATACTTTTGTTCTTTTACACTCTCAAGTACCACAGTGTCTAATAGTTGTTGTAGGTCTTCTGCGTTTTCAGCTAATAATACTGTATCATCTGCTAATAAAGATTTATATTATAACATCCAACAAGTATTCCTGGTCTATTCTTGACCTCCCTCGTTATTATTTCACTATAGAGAGAGAAGAGATCGGGTGACAAAACACACCCTTGTCTCACTCCTTGCTTCATCTGTTGTGTCTGTTTTTGTTCTCTCCCCAGATATACTACTTGTCTCTGAGTTTGTTCTCACTTCCCAAATATACTAATTGCATCTGTGTTTGTTCTCACTCCCCAGATATGCTACTTGTATCTGTGTTTGTTCTCACTCCCCAGATATACTACTTGTGTCTGTGTTTGTTCTCTCCCCAGATATACTACTTGTGTCTGTGTTTGTTCTATTCTACTGTGTCTGTGTTTGTTCTCACTCCCCAGATATACTACTTGTATCTGTGTTTGTTCTCACTTCCCAAATATACTACTTGTATCTGTGTTTGTTCTCACTCCCCAGATATACTACTTGTGTCTGTGTTTGTTCTCTCCCCAGATATACTACTTGTGTCTGTGTTTGTTCTCACTCCCCAGATATACTACTTGTATCTGTGTTTGTTCTCACTTCCCAAATATACTACTTGTATCTGTGTTTGTTCTCACTCCCCAGATATACTACTTGTGTCTGTGTTTGTTCTCACTCCCCAGATATACTACTTGTATCTGTGTTTGTAATCACTCCCCAGATATACTACATGTATCTATATTTGTTCTCACTCCCCAGATATGCTTGCTGTATACACGGAGGCCCTTCCTTCCTCCAGTGGCATCGTCTGTACACTGTGCAGTTTGAAGATGCCCTTAAACGGCACGGATCTCCAGTGGGTGTGCCCTATTGGGACTGGACACGGGTTACTCAACAGTTGCCTCGCACTTTCACATATGAGAATTACACAGATCCCTTCACCCATCACTGGACTCTGAATCCATTCTTCGGGGGCAGAGTTGAATTTGAGAATGTGAACACAGAAAGAGATATCCAGGTAGGAACAATATATTACATGGTTGATCAATTATTTTACAAGGTTGAATGTAGTTACATGGTTGATTGTTTATATTGTCTGGCCGATTGTTGATATCACATTTCTGATTGTGGATATCAGGTGACTGAATGTTGATATCATACAGTTGATTGTTGATATCATGTTGCTGATAGTTCATATCACATGGCTGGTTGTTGATATCACATGGCTGATTGTTGATATCTTGTGGTTGATATCACATGGCTGATAGTTGATATCATGTAGCTGATTCTTGATTTCACACAGCTAATTGTGGATATCATGTGGTTGTTTGTTGACATCATGCAGCTGATTGTTTATTTCATGCAGCTGATTGTTAATATCATGTGGTTGATTGTTATCATATGGGTGATTGTTGATATCATGTAGTTAATTGTTGATATCGTATGGCTGATTGTTTATTTCATGCAGCTGATTGTTAATATCATGTGGTTGATTGTTATCATATGGGTGATTGTTGATATCATGTAGTTAATTGTTGATATCGTATGGCTGATTGTTGATATCACATGGCTGATTGTTGATATCTTGTGGTTGATATCACATGGCTGATAGTTGATATCATGTAGCTGATTCTTGATTTCACACAGCTAATTGTGGATATCATGTGGTTGTTTGTTGACATCATGCAGCTGATTGTTTATTTCATGCAGCTGATTGTTAATATCATGTGGTTGATTGTTGATATCATATGGGTGATTGTTGATATCATGTAGTTAATTGTTGATATCGTATGGCTGATTGTTTATTTCATGCAGCTGATTGTTAATATCATGTGGTTGATTGTTTATCATATGGGTGATTGTTGATATCATGTAGTTAATTGTTGATATCGTATGGCTGATTGTTGATTTTATGTGGCTGATCATTGACATCATTTGGCTGTTCAATAATATCATTAGGCTGATGTTGATATCAAATGGCTGATCATTGATATTGTATGGTTGATTATTGTTTTGCTTAGTTATACCAGTGTTTGTGCAAGATTTCTTTTCATGGTGTCAGGTCTAGACTATGCACTGTTACTTCGCTGTAAGTAGCACACGATAAATAAATCTAATTTTAAAATTATCTTACAATGACAGGAAGTTTAAGTTTTGTTACATGCCTCTGTTCTACATGTTTCTGTGGTTGTCAGTTATTTCCTTTTGTCTTTATCAGAGATGTCCTTCTCTTATTGTCAACGTGATAATGTTGTCCCTTTCTGTGATTTTTTTTTTTTTTTTTGGGGGGGGGGGGGGGGGGGGGGGAGAGGTAGGGGGTCAGCCTCCTTTCCTCTGAAAGACATAGCTGTTGTGAAAATCTCTTTTGAATCTATCCAACAATTTCATCTCCTGATATATATTTTCAAGTTCCTAAGTTTTGATGCAGCTGTTTTAAAATAACAGTATTCCCTCTATAATAACTGTTATTTTTTTTTGTATTAACCTTCACATTTATATACATTCTTGTTCATTGTAAGGCATATTGTCAGCATAAAATGTTTTCTTGAAATTGTTTTAAGTTGAAAATCTGGTCTGTACGCAGTTTACTTTTGTTTTAAAAATCATCATAAATATCATGGTGTATAAACCATCAAAAACATCATGTTGTATAAACCATCATAAACATCATGTTGTATGAACCATCATAAAAATCATGTTGTATAAACCAACATAAACATCATGTTGTATAAACCAACATAAACATCATCTTGTATAAACCATCATAAACATCATCTTGTAAAAACCATCATAAACATCATGTTGAATAAACCATCATAAACATCATATTGTATAAACCACCATAAACCATCATGTTGTATAAACCATCATAAACATAATGTTGTATAAACCATCATAAACATCATATTGTATAAACCATCATGTTGTATAAACCATCATAACAACATGTTGTATAAACCATCATAAACATCATGTTGTATAAACCATCATAAGCATCATGTTGAATGAACCATCATAAACATCATGTTGTATGAACCATCATGAACATCATGTTGTATGAACCATCATAAACATCATGTTGTATGAACCATCATAAACATCATGTTGTATGAACCATCATAAACATCATGTTGTATGAACCATCATAAACATCATGTTGTATGAACCATCATAAAAATCATGTTGTATGAACCATCATAAACATCATGTTGTATAAAACAATCATAAACCATCATGTTATATAAACCATCATAAGCATCATGTTGTATGAACCATCATAATTATCATGTTGTATAAACCAACATAAACATCATGTTGTATAAACCAACATAAACATTATGTTGTACAAACCATCATAAATCAGCCAAACTGATGTTTGCATTTGACTTGACAGGAAGACAAGCTGTTCAAACGAGGACCCCATGGCTGGGACACATGGCTCTACACTCAAGTCCTGTACGCGTTAGAACAAGAAGACTTCTGCGACTTTGAAGTTCAGCTGGAGATAGCCCATAATGCCATCCATTCTTGGATCGGAGGCTCCAAGGAACACTCCCTGGCCCATCTGCATTATGCATCCTATGATCCTGCATTCTTTGTCCACCACTCCAACACAGACAGGCTGTTTGCTGTGTGGCAGGCACTCCAGAAATATAGAGGAAATAAATACAATGAGGCTAACTGTGCCCTAGAGCAACAACGGGTAAGCCCACCTTTCTTTTTTCTCTCCCCCCTCCCCCTTTTTTTCAGGTAATAAATGTTGTGTTAAACACTGATTGGGCAAACATCATAAACCTTGCCTCAATCAGTGACAGGGAATATAAAAATAAACCTCACACTAGTCACCACATGAACACATAAGAAACTTCACACTGGTCACTCACTGTACACAGAAATTAAACCGCACAATTGTCATTGACTGGACACAGATAATAAACCTCACAATATTGATTGACTGGACACAGATAATAAACCTCACACAAGTCACTGACTGGACACAGATAATAAACCTCACACTAATCACTGACTGGACACAGATAATAAACCTCACACAGGTCACTTACTAGACGCAGATAATAAACCTCACACTATTGACTGACTGGACACAGATATTAAACCTCACACTATTGACTGACTGGACACACATAATAAACCTCACATATAATAAACTATTGACTGACTGGACACAAGATAACCTCACAAACCTCACACTATTGTCACTGACTGGACATATAATAAATAAACCTGGACACACACTAACCTCACACAAGTCACTGACTGGACACAGATAACTGACTGGAACACTAACACATAAGTCACTGACTGACTGGACACATATAATAAACCTCACATAAGTCACTGACTGGACACACATAATAAACCTCACACAAGTCACTGACTGGACACAGATAATAAACCTCACACAAGTCACTGACTGGACACAGATAATAAACCTCACACAAGTCACTGACTGGACACAGATAATAAACCTCACACTATTGACTGAATGGACACAAATAATTAACCTCATGCAGGTCACTGACTGGACGCACACAATAAATCTGACACAGGTCATTGACTGGACACAGATAATAAACCTCACACTGGTGACAGACTGGCCACACATAATAAACCTCACACAGGTCACTGACTGACCACAGATAATAAACCTCTCACAGGTCACTGACTGGCCACAGATAATAAACCTCACACAAGTCACTGACTGGCCACAGATAATAAACCCCACACAAGTCACTGGCTGGCCACAGATAATAAACCTCACACAGGTCACTGACTGACCACAGATAATAAATCTCACGCTAGGAAATAAAAGGGGAGCTGCAATGGTGTAGCAGCTAGATGCTTCAGGTCCCTGGACTTTTTTTCCCCAAAAATACACATGAGGGCAATGAAAGTCTTCTTTACTTAGTCAGTAAAAAAGTAATACTGAAATTTTTTATTTTTGTTTTAGTGCTCTTTTCTTTCTTAAGCTCCTTCTATTTTTCTTTTTTAATTCTTTTTTTTCTTTCTTTGTATTTTTGTGAAGGTATGATCAATATGTGTAGTTTTTAACCTCCCTGATTCCATGCAGGAACCTTTGAAGCCATTCAGTTTTGGACCTCCATACAACTTGAACAATGCTACCCTTGAGTACTCCCGCCCACAAGACACGTTTGCCTACAAGGAGCACTTCCACTACAAGTACGACGCACTTGAGTTTGTGGGCATGAACATTGCCACACTGGATGCTTACATCAAGGAGAGGAAAGAACATGACAGAGTCTTTGCAGGTATATCAGTTGAGCATTTCCCTATCTCTTTATTCTTCTTCTTTGTGATTACAGCTGTAAACTCCAGCGGAAAGTTCTCATAGTTCATCCACTTCTGGACTCAAGTCCTGTTCCAGAACATGAGTGTTGTGTGCACAGTTGTTTCACAGATCTGACTCATCTGTATGCAGACTTGGTTCCTTGCCTCTCAGGCAGATGCACACAGACCTTGGAGGAAATCTGTTATTACCTACCTAATTGAAAACTTGTTGTCTAGATATCACTCTAACATTACCTACCTAGTTGAACACTTGTTCCCTGCATATCGCTCTAACATTACCTACCTAGCTAAACACCTGTTCCCTAGATATCACCCTAACATTACCATACTGTGTTCCACACTTGCCCCATAGATATCACTCTAACATTACCTACTGTTTTCAGCTCTTGTTCCCTAGATATCACTTTAACATTACCCACATAGCTGAACATGTGTTTCCTAGATAACACTCTGACATTACCTACCTAGTTGAACACTTGTTCCCTGCATATCACTCTAACATTGCCTACCTAGTTGAACACCTATTCCTTAGATATCACTCTAACATTATATTTGTTCCCTAGATATTACTCGTACATTACCTATCCAGTTGAACACTTGCTACTTATTGTATCAAAGTTTATATTTATACAGTTTACATATTTTTAAGACATCCTATCTTCTCTAGCACTTCCTTGTGTGCATTGACCAGACACACACGTATGTATTTCATGGTATAATAAGTAAAGTATCTGTTTAGGTTTACCTAATAAACTGCAGATGTTGAACACATAGTGAGAATGGCAGATACCACAGAGATATAAACCACATACACAAAAAGGAGTTGAATAGGAATAGACCACAAGGGAGACTAAGACGATGCTGGAGAGAATATTTATAAGGCAGGCCAACCAATACTTCGTGTCAATAACTTGAATGTTGAATTAAGAATCGACATCACAGCACCTGGGACACTCCCATAATTGCTCAGTCCCCATCTTTAGCAGCAAAAACTGGAAAGAAAAGGCTAATCACAGAAATGAATTATGAGGGATGTGGGGGCAGTGAGGGGTGATATCTGCATCAATAAAACTCAAGGGCTCAGAATCCTAAAGAAGAGGAAGAAGCAGAACAAGTTTACATTTAGATAAATTGGCACTGTCTAAGTTTATCTACATGATGCCTCTGTAGGATTCCTTCTGAAAGGAATTGGTCAGTCTGCCAACATTGACTTTGAGATCTGCAATGCTGCAGAAGACAATTGTTTCGAAGGAGGCTACTTCACCATTCTTGGTGGATCTGCTGAGATGCCATGGCAGTTTGACAGACTGTACAAGTATGAGATAACTGACCAGGTGAGTAATGGTTGTCTGAGAATAACTGTCCAAGTAAACAGTGTCTGTCTGTGAGATAACTTACAAAAAATGTGTGGATTCCATGGTGAATGCTTATTGTCTGTGCTCCCAGAGATGTGTGTTGTAAACTGCTTAGTGAGAAAATGCTAAGTGGCTGCTTGCTGCGGAATTGGCAATGTGCCTTTGCAGTAATGCATGTGCATCTGCTGGTTTATAATGACTACTACTTTTATAAACTATGAATTATAATTTTAGTGATAGACAATTGGTGTTGGCACCTCTGGTGACTGTCTTATGCATTTTATGAACTTACAAGCTGCTGGATTTTGCAGGGATTGCTATCTGCCTAATTTTTCCCTGGAACAGGAGTAATTATAAGGTGACCTGTTTGCAAAGAAGTTGGAACACAAACTGAAAACCTGTTTGCAAAGAAGTTGGAACCCAAAATGAAAACCTGTTTGCAATAAAGTTAGAAGCCAAACTGAAAACCTGCTTGCAATGAAGTTGGAACACAAACTGAAAACCTGTTTGCAAAGAAGTTGGAACACAAACTGAAAACCTGTTTGCAAAGAAGTTGGGACCCAAAATGAAAACCTGCTTGCAATGAAGTTGGAACCCAAACTGAAAACCTGTTTGCAATGAAGTTAGAAGCCAAACTGAAAACCTGTTTACAATGAAGTTAGAAGCCAAACTGAAAACCTGCTTGTAAAGAAGTTAGAAGCCAAACTGAAAACCTGCTTGTAAAGAAGTTGGAACCCAAACTGAAAACCTGCTTTGCAAAGAAGTTGGAACACAAACTGAAAATCTGCTTGTAAAGAAGTTGGAACCCAAACTGAAAACCTGCTTGCAAAGAAGCTGGAAGACACACTGAAAACCTGCTTGCAAACTGAAAACCTGCTTGCAAAGAAGTTGGAACACAAACTGAAAGCCTGCTTGCAAAGAAGTTGGAACCCAAACTGAAAACCTGCTTGCAATGAAATGAACCCAAAATGAAAAGCTATTTTACTAAAAGCTTTTAGAATGTACTTGAAATGTATCAAAGTGTACCAGAAGGACTTGATTGCCATGAAACCCAATAAACATGAACTAGACTGTATTAAATTATACACAGTGAACTAGACCTATATAAAATTTTATTTTGTCATGTAACAGATATCTAAGCCTTGATTTTAGATGGATTTGAACAGATAGCAACACTGAAACATTAGTGACACTGAAACATTAGTGACACTGAAATATTAGTGACACTAAAACATTAGTGACACTGAAATATTAGTGACACTGAAACATTAGTGACACTGGAATATTAGTGACACTGAAACATTAGTGACACTGAAACATTAGGGACACTGAAACATTAGTGACACTGAAACATTAGGGACACTGAAACATTAGTGACACTGAAACATTAGGGACACTGAAACATTAGTGACACTGAAACATTAGTGACACTGAAACATTAGGGACACTGAAATATTAGTGACACTGAAATATTAGTGACACTGAAACATTAGGGAGACTGAAATATTAGTGACACTGAAACATTAGTGACACTGAAACATTAGTGACACTGAAACATTAGGGACACTGAAACATTAGTGACACTGAAATATTAGTGACACTGAAATATTAGTGACACTGAAACATTAGGGACACTGAAACATTAGTGACACTGAAACATTAGTGACACTGAAACATAAGTGACACTGAAACATTAGTGACACTGAAACATTAGTGACACTGAAACATTAGCGACACTGAAACATTAGTGACACTGAAATATTAGTGACACTGAAAACATTAGTGACACTGAAACACTGACACTGAAACATTAGGGACACTGAAACATTAGTGACACTGAAACATTAGTGACACTGAAATATTAGTGACACTGAAACATTAGTGACACTGAAACATTAGTGACACTGAAACATTAGTGACACTGAAACATTAGTGACACTGAAACATTAGTGACACTGAAACATTAGTGACACTGAAACATTAGTGACACTGAAACATTAGTGACACTGAAACATTAGCAACACTGAAACATTGGTGACCCTGAAACATTAGTAACACTGAAATATTAGTTACACTGAAACATTAGTTACACTGAAACATTAGTGACACTGAAACATTAGTGACACTAAAACATTAGTGACACTGAAACATTAGTGACACTGAAACATTAGTGACACTGAAACATTAGTAACACTGAAACATTAGTGACACTGAAATATTAGTGACACTGAAACATTAGAGACACTGAAATATTAGTGACACTGAAACATTAGCGACACTGAAATATTAACGGACTTTTGAGATTTGGAAAATGGAATGTATAATATTCAGAGTGACCCACAAACACTTGGTGTCAGCAACTGGAAAGAGAAGACCTTACATCTGCAGCAATGAATGTTCATGGCTGGGAATGCTGAAGAAAAAAAAAAGAAGAAGAAGAATGAGCTGAACTAAAGTTAACTATAATGTACTGAAATGTACTAGAATTTACATATCAAGTATTAATTAATTTTTTTTGGTTCGGTTTGTAACAAACTGTTGTCAGAAAAAAGTCAAGAAAAGCAATAAATTAAATATTTGTGAATTAATCACAGAATACAATAAATTAAATAGTCATAAATTAATCACAGAATACAATAAATTAAATAGTCATGAATTAATCACAGAATACAATAAATTAAATAGATGTGAATTAATCACAGAATACAATAAATTAAATAGATGTGAATTAATCACAGAATACAATAAATTAAATAGTCATGAATTAATCACAGAATACAATAAATTAAATAGTTGTGAATTAATTACAGAATACAATAAATTAAATAGATGTGAATTAATCACAGAATACAATAAATTAAATAGTCGTGAATTAATCACAGAATACAATAAATTAAATAGATGTGAATTAATCACAGAATACAATAAATTAAATAGATGTGAATTAATCACAGAATACAATAAATTAAATAGTTGTGAATTAATTACAGAATACAATAAAAAAAAATGTTGTGAATTAATCACAGAATACAATAAATAAAAATGTTGTGAATTAATCATAGAATACAATAAATTAAATAGACATGAATTTATCACAGAATACAATAAATTAAATAGTTGTGAATTAATTAAAGAATACAATAAATTAATTAGATGTGAATTAATCACAAAATACAATAAATTAAATAGTCGTGAATTAATCACAGAATACAATAAATTAAATAGATGTGAATTAATCACAGAATACAATAAATTGAATAGTTGTGAATTAATCACAGAATACAATAAATAAAAATGTTGTGAATTAATCATAGAATACAATAAATTAAATAGACATGAATTAATCACAGAATATTGGCTTCTTGTTTTAAAGCTGAAGTCTCATAACTTCCGCTATGATGATGATTACCATCTGAGAGTTCACATCAAATCCATTAATGGCACTGAGCTAGACAGTCACCTGATTCGTGATCCTACAGTAATCTACGTGCCTGCCAAACGTGAGTACCTGTGATCATCTTTTCTGTTCCTAGATAGCTCCCATAAGTAGCATTAAGCATTTTTTAAGTAACATAAATGTTTAACTGTGACACATGAAAAGCTTTATTTTTTTTTTTTTTTTTCTGTCTTAAGTTTATGCCGTGTTGCATTGTTAGTCGTGTCTATTCACAACCTTCTGTCTCGTGTAGTTTTAATCACTTCTAACTACCTCAACACAGATGCACGATATCCACTGCATACTGAAATTAAGAAGAATAAAAGCCTGCAGGATAAAAGGAGAAAAATTGCAGATTGGTCAGGCGAGGACATTATTCAGCAGGTGTGTTCATTTGAGGACATAGAATCTGGTGAGAAATGGGTACAAGTTACCAACAGAGCTCTGTACAAATGTGTCTGTTTGCATCCAAGCAGACAGAAAATGAAGACAAGAAAGACCAGCCACTGTTGATGCAGAAGTGCAGGCTTTGATAATTCTCTACAAGGGGGATGCTGTCATTTACACAGATGGGTCTGTGATTCACCATCTGAGAAGCTCCTGGGCTTTTACGGCTCAGGTTGGAGTTATAATTGTGAAGCAAGATTCTGGTGCTGTTGTCTTGACCACAAGTAGTCTGACAATGGAGGTCATGACATTGACCAAAGCAATAACATGGCTGGAGACACCGATATTTTCCTGTGCTTGCTATCTCAGTGACTCAATGAGTGTGCTCAGGAAGATAGAGATGGGCTGGGTTCGAAGACAGTTGTTGGGGTCTCTAGACTGGTTGGGGCTGACACAAATCAGTTTCAAGACAACAGTAAACAAACACATTTAGAAAAAAAAAACAAAGAAAAACACACCACTAGAAATAAAAGTTTAAAAAAAAAAAAAAAAGACAACAGCAAACAACAATTATTTTGTTTTCTTTGAAAAGATGTTCATCAAATGTCGATACTGAACTTAATGCTCTGTTGGTTTGTGTTTTTTCTTTATATTATCAAAAACTATAACAGATTGTTTAAAGTTATCCTGACATTTATGTCACCAGATGATGTGTCCTTGAAGAAGGTGACCGTCAATCACATCAGACATAACCTGAATGATTTAGACGAAAGGGACATCCAGAGCATCCAGGAAGGTCTTCGTGACCTCATTAAAGACAACACCAATGATGGTTGGGCATCACTGGCTTCCTTCCATGGAGCTCCTGCCCGCTGTCCAGATCCTGACCACCCTACAGTTGCTTGTTGCCAGCACGGCATGCCCACTTTCCTTCACTGGCATCGGCTGTTTACTTTACATGTAAGCTTGCAGAATGTCTGGCTGGATGGAAGATGTGTTTAAAAAGACATACAACACAAGCATACATGGCCTGACTGAATTTGTACTGTGTTCTTCTTCTTCTTTCGTTCGCCTGAAATAAGTTGTCTATATCAGCATTTTCGTCTGTTGTATAAATTTCACTGTCGCTGTTAGTTCATGCAGTGGTCCATAGAGTTTACGTTCCACTGTTGTTCTTTCTGGCCAAAAGGTTTGTC